TTTTTTTTTTTTTTTTTTTTTTTTTAATCTCTCTCTCTCTCTCTCTCTCTCTCTCTCTCTCTCTCTCTCTCTCTCTCTCTCTCTCTCTCTCTCTCTCTCTCTCTCTCTTTCTTTATTATTTTCCCCATCCTTGCTCCTCATCTTCGATCCCTTTCTTGTCCAAATTCTCGTTTCCTTATCCCTTCCATTTCTTCGTCCCTATAGCTTATGCCTTATACCTCTTTCCCTACCCATTGCTTGCCTCTTTCCCTTTCCCTTTCCCTAACCATTCCTTGGTTCTTTCCCTTTCCCTTTTCTTACCCATTCCCTGCCTTTTCCCCTTTGCTTTTCCTTTTTCCTACACGTTGCTTGCTTGTCTCTTTCCTTTTCCCTTTTTTTACCCATTCCCTGCATTTTTCCCTTTCCTTTTCCTTTTTCCTACACGTTGCTTGCCTCTTTCCCTTGCCTATTTCCTTTTCCCTTTCCCTAACCATTCCTTGCCTCTTTCCCTTTCCCTTTTTTTACCCATTCCCTGCCTTTTTTCCCTTTGCTTTTCCTTTTTCCTACACGTTGCTTGCTTGCCTCTTTCCTTTTCCCTTTTTTTACCCATTCCCTGCCTTTTTCCCTTTCCTTTTCCTTTTTCCTGCACTTTGCTTGCCTCTTTCCCTTTCCCTACCCATTCCTTGCCTCTTTCCCTTTCCCTTTTTTTTACCCATTCCCTGCCTTTTTCCCTTTCTTTTTCCTTTTCCCTACACATTCCTTGCCTCTTTCCCTTTCCCTCTCCCCTCCTTACCTCTTTCTCTCCCCACATATCCCATTCCCTCTTCTTTTTCCTACTCCCTCCTCGTCCCTATCACCCCGTCCCTTAACCCTTTTCCCTACCCCTACTACGCGGCCCCTACCTCTCTCTTTACCCCCTTTTCCACACTGCCCTTACCTTCTCTATACCCCTTTCCCTACCACATTCCCTAACCCTTCCGCCCCGTCCCTGCCACCCTGTCCTCTGCCAACCCGCCCCCTACCCCCTACCCCCTAGCCCTTCCGCCCCGTCCCTGCCACCCTGTCCTCTGCCAACCCGCCCCCTACCCCCTACCCCCTAGCCCTTCCGCCCCGTCCCTGCCACCCTGTCCTCTGCCAACCTGCCCCCTACCCCCTACCCCTTCCGCCCCCTATCCCCTGGACCTTACCCCTTACCCCTTCCGCCCTGCCACCCGACCCGCTACCCTCTACCCCAGTACCCCCAACCCCCTACCCCGTACCACCCATCCCCCGTACCGACCGGAAGTCAGGAATTATCCTCATTATAAATAAATCGAGACGCACTGCCGCTTCAACCCCGAGGCAGAAGCAACACGAGGAGAGGGTGGAATGTTAACCGTCATTTTTTTTTTAACCTACCTTCGTCTTTTTTTTATCTCTTTTTTTCTTTCTTTCTTTCTTTCTTTCTTTCTTTCTTTCTTTCTTTCTTTCTCTGTCTGCCTGTCTGTCTTTCTTTCTTTCTTACTTCGTTTCTCTCTCTCACTCTCTGTTTCTTTCTCTCTCTCTCTCTCTCTCTCTCTCTCTCTCTCTCTCTCTCTCTCTCTCTCTCTCTCTCTCTCTCTCTCTCTCTCTCTCTCTCTCTCTCTTCTTCCTTCCTTCCTTCCCTCCCACTTTCAGTCCTTCCTGCCTTCCCTCCCTCTCTCTTTCTCCTCTCTTCTCTTCTTTTCTCTTCTTTTTTTTTGGGGGGGGGTTTCAGCGCCGAGGAAGTGCCTGGGATCTATTCTTAGAGGGAGGGAAACGGGAAGTGAGGGGGGGGGAGATGTTGAGGGTCCTCGTTGTTCTACCTTCTCTGTCTATGTGTTTCTCTCTTTTTTATCTCTTCTTCTTTCCTTCTCTCTCTTTCTCCCTTTCTTTCTTTCTCTTGCTCTCCCTTTCCCTTTCCCTCCTCTCTCCCTTTTCTCTCCCTCCCACTCCCCCTCTCCCTCTCTCTCTCTCTCTCTCTCTCTCTCTCTCTCTCTCTCTCTCTCTCTCTCTCTCTCTCTCTCTCTCTCTCTCTCTCTCTCTCTCTCCCTCTCCCTCTCCCTCTCCCTGTCATTCCCTCACTTTCTTCCTCCCTCCCTCCCTCCTTCTTTCTCTCTCTATCTGCCTTTCAACTTATCTACCTGTTTATCCATCTTCTCCTTTCTCTATTCTTCTCTATCGCTATCGCCTTCTTCGCTCATTTCCTTTCTTTTCCTCACTGTTTCTCTTCTTCTCTGCCGCTTTCTTTCCTTTTATCTGTCTGTTTTTCCTCCCTTTACTTTTCGCTTTTCCTTCTTCTCATTCTATCAATCCATGCATCCCTTTATCTTTATTTTCTATTATCTGTCTCCTTCAACCTGTTGATATATCTGTCTCCTTTTATCTATTTCATTCTATCAATGTACCTACCTATATATCTATGTACCTAACGTTCTATCTATATAATTATCTTCATTTATCTCAATTGACTTATCTCAACAGATTCACCTCCTCACTAAACAACGACAAAAACAAATAAACA